GGCACAGCGTGCCAGCTTCCCCCACAGGCCGGACCCCGGGAACAAGTCCCAGCACGGCCTCTCTTGACAGAGCCTTTTCCTGGCTTAAAGGCTGTGACAGTGACTCCAGTCCCTGCATTCCTCCTTTTTGGCCCTACATTCTGGTACACAGAATGTCTTGCTAACAATAGGCTTCCTCTTCGGAGATGCTCACATGCCGTTCCTAACCGCTCACTCTGAGTAAACCGGAATAGAGCCAAAGTCCCCCGCCCTCCCGCTGCAGACGGGAAACAGAGACACTGCAGGACTGGCCCAAGGTCACACAGCCCCAGACCCAGGACTCATAGGAAAAATCCCAGGGTCTGGATATGGGCGTGGGCGTGGGCGGCTGAGCCCAGGTCAGAAGCCCGAGCCAGTGGCCATGGCTGCAGGCACTGAAGCCAGCTTGTTTCCACTGGCCTTGCCGCCTCCGCCTCCGGAGGACAGGGCCTCCCAGACAGAAGCAGTCATTAATCGATATGCGAGAAAGAACAAGGAGGGGGCCAGGGGGTGAAGGTACCACGTACCAGGTGGTGCGGCCAGTCCATCCCCCACCAGTGAGGTGGCCAGTCGGCCTGCAGCTGCCGCCTGCCTGGAGCCCCAGATGCTGCCCTGCTGCTGCCGCCGAGAGAATGGCAGCGACAGGATGGAGCGGAGCAATTATAGCCCAACGCGGGGCTGATGGGGGAGTGGGTGGGTGGGCTCCTCGTGTCAGCTAGGAACCCAGCTGGCTGGGCCTGGCTCAGAGACAGGCGGCAAGGGGTGTGGGGACAAGCCAGGAGCCAGGCAGAGGTGCCCAGGGGCTGTTGACCCAGGGACAATGCCCTGTGTGTCTGGCGAGGGCCCGGGCGGGTGGCACCTCTGCCTGTGGCCTGTGGCCGGCCTCCCAGCCAGCACCCACAGGGCCAGCTAAGACAATCAGCTACGATTGCTTTGGGGATGGTCAGGGGGTGAGGGCGGAGGAGGGACGGGCTGTCGGTTGGTTAGGAAACCAGCGCCAGCAGCTAGCCATGGGCCCTCTCCCAGGAAACAGCCTCAGGGTCGCCCGTCTCTGCCAGGGGAGCCCTCCAGACCCTCTGAGACCGGTCCCCCTGAGTTAAGAGGCAGGGAAACTGGGGCCCAAGCAAGCAGGACATTCATCCAGACTTACACAGCGGGTGTAAGACGATGGAACTGGGATTTGTCCCTGGTGGCTGTCCAGGGCTCTGTCCACTACCCACCACCCTGTTTTTCTTGGAACGCTTTGTGCCCGAGTCTAGCCGGCCGTGAACATGTTTCTGAGCCCTCGTGTTCCCACCTGGTAAGTTGTTGATCCAGGAGGAAGGCCCTCACGGCCCACTTTACTGGCCTTCCCAATGCACGTGTATCGCCTGCCTCTGCGTGGCTGCCCCTGGCTTCCACTCACTCTCAGCTCTGTATCCTGCTCTGCAGAACAGGAGCCACGGCTGCCGACAGACAGTGGCCTAGTCAGTTTCTCGCCAGAAATCTCTCTGCACCAGTTCCCACCCCTCTGGAATGGAGATGAGCCCAGCACCAGTAGACTCCTGGAGCAAAGGAAAGGGGCCAGATTAGCCAGCTGATGCAGGTCCTGGGGCTCGGTGGGTGCTCAGGAAACCACACAGTTGCTCTCAGGGCCTCTGACCTGTGGCTGCACCCTGTGTAGCCGAGCAGAGCTGCGCCCTGTTGGGGTCAAATGTCAGGACTCTTTGGAAGCAGGTCGCCAGGCCTTTCTCAGGAGAATCCAGGTGGGTT